TATTTTCTTATTAGTCGAATTTCAGAAGGAAGATTTTTCAATGAAGGTGTAATTAGAGAATAGAGGCAGCTTATGTGGGGACGGATAATAGAGAAAGAGATTTATGTGGAGATGAAGAAGGCGGCGGCGGCGGCGGCGGCAACGACGACGGTGGAAGCGGTAGCGGCGGCTGTAGAATTATATAGGTGGAGAGGTGAAGAAAAGAGATGATGAAAGTGATAGAAGTGAAGGCAAATAATTAAAATATAGGGTTATAATAGTTTAGAGTATTTTTGTCACACTAGTCTAAGGAGGTCTCGGTAATTAATAATGAAATTTCGATGTGGGCATAAGTCTTTAACAATTGGGTGTAGTTCACAATATTTCCATTTAAGGGTATTGCATATGTCCCCTTATATTAATTATACTAATTTAAGATTTATAAATGTTACCAAATTAATTATACTTATGTCTGTCTAATATCACCATTAACAATTTTCTTTTAATATAGATATATATAAAATCAATTATGTAGATTATATCAGTTCTTTCAATTATGAAGGCCAACATTTCAGTTAAATAATAAATTTGTGGGGAAATTACAGTTTCCATCCTTCAAGATTGCACCGATTTCACATTTGGTTCCCCATGTTTACAAAACACACTTTTGGTCTCTAATATTTCAATAATTTAATATTTTTTGTCATTTCCATCTATATACTGTTAGGAACGGCAATTGAGTCGGGCCTACCCGAGCACGATAGCTCGGTCCGATTTTGTTTGAGCCAAACCTGATTAATTGTGAGTTGGGCCGAGATAAAGTCGTTTCATTAAACCCGATTAAACTATGGGTTAAGTTTGAGCTTACCATGACTCAGCCCGAATAAAGTGAAAATACATATTCATATGTGTGTGTGTGTGTGTGTGTGTGTATTGTCGTCTTTTTTCCTTTTTTCAGGTATCAAGATTTCCGAAAAGAGTTAGGAAGACATTTAGAATTGCTTCTATTTATTTTTGGACTCAGAAACATTTTTTTCCATACAATTAATTAATGATTAAATATTTGAAACATTAAACTTCATTTGTTTTAATGAACATGCTATGTTTTTTTTAATCTTATTTTGATTTTCAATGAATATTTTAGATTCTGCTCTTAGACTACGAATTTTAACGTGTTCGACTGCAAAATTGTACAATACGTAATTTAGTTATTGCGCGATATAAGCTTAATATAAACCCGAAACCCGAAAAAATACGTGAGTCGGGTTTGAGCCTATAGGCATGAGGCCCGATGGTATTTGAGCTTGAGCTTATAATAACGATGTCCGATGGTATATGAGCTTGAGCTGATCCAGGCTCGGCTCATATGGCACTATTGCCAGCCCTATTTACCGTTATTCGGTTAGTTAAGCAGTGATGGGCACACGCTTGATTCCGCTAGTTTTAACGGAAAACTTACGGAAACGACTAAATTTGTTGAATTTTTACAACATAATAGACCAAACGTGTTTTTTGTGAACATGGAGGACCAAATGTGAATCGTTGCAAACTTGAAGGACACAAACTGTATTTTTCCCATAAATTTGTAGTTTCTAGAAGTTATAATAATTAAGATTTACTCCATTAAATAGTACTAGTACTACATTTTCCTTCCCTTCGGGTCTGCCAGCTCGTATGCTCCTCGCCTCAATACTCTTTTCACGACATAGGGTCCCTCCTAGTTAGGTTCCATCTTTCCCGTTGTTTTTAGGACGTTTGTTTTTAGGACGTCCGCCTGCTTGAGTACTAAGTCCCCCACTTGAAAATGCATTCTCCTTACATTCTTGTTACAGGCGTTTCTTATTCTTGCTTTGTTGGCCTCCATGCGAACAGTTGCTCGCTCTGTTCGCTCCATTGCCAAGTCTAGATCCACCCTTAGCTCTTCGTTATTTCTTACTTCTTGGTAGTTGTGATCCTTGCGACGGCCTCGGCCTCGACCCATTTGGAAAAAAGGAAAGGTGCATCCACCATTGTCATATCTTCACTGAGTATGTGCTTGCGGGGGCCGTATCTTTGGCACTTATCACAGATCCTTACGAATTGAACCACATCTTTCTTCATGATTGGCCAAAAGTACCCCGCCCCCTGAAGTCGTAATGCTAACACTTGACCGCCAGCGTTGTTCCCGCAGCATCCCTCATGCACCTCCGTAATCGCGCGGTCTCCTTCATTCTCACTTATGCATTTAAGATGTGGCGTGGTGAATCCTCGCTTATATAGTATTCCTCTATCTAGGCAGAATTTCCTTGCTCTAGCTTCCAACTTATCTTGCTCTCACCGACAATGTAGCATCTACCATTCCAAGCACCGTACAATACCCGAGCGCCAATCGTCCGTGGGTCCGACTTTGGCTACCTCCAGCATTCTTGGGGTTTCCCCTCCAGGATTGTTATTTTCCTGGAAGCGCACTCTGTCAATAGGCTTCTTACCCTGGTCAAAAATTCTGCTATTTCATTTTCACTCCTTGGGATTTGCTTAAGTGTTGCCTGGTGGAAGTTGCTGACAAGCTTCCTCGCCCTTGCGCAATATTCTTCCATCATTTCATCATTTGTTTCGAAAGCTCTATTGACCTGCTGGACGACCAACTGCAAGTCGGAGTATACTTCTAATGCACAGGCTCCGGCCTTTGTGGATAACTTCAATGCATACATCAGGGCCTCGTACTTAGACACGCCCATGGGCCGGTTCGGGCCGGTTCACTCCGGTTCGCGGTTCACTTTTTCCGGAACCGGAACCGGCCCGTACTACGCACGGTTCGGCGGGCCGGGTTGGCCCGCCGGTTCACTCCGGTTCCGGGCCTATCCGGGTCGGTGCCGGGTCGGCTCGGAAATTTATATTTATATATATATTTTAAAAAAAATACTTAATGGATAAATAAATTAAAATAATTACTTTTAAATAGGAAAAAAACAAAAGGAAATAAATAAAAGGAATTTAACTTAATTTTTTAGGAAAAAATGGGGTGTGAGGGTATTTATAAGAAAAAATAGGGGGGGGGGGGGGGATTCAGAAAATAGCAAATAACGGCCGGTTCACCAGCCGTTATTTGCTTTTTTTTTTTTTTGAATTTTTTTGAAGTTTAATTTTTTTTTTTTTAAATCCGGGTGAACTGCCGGGCCGGCCCCGCGGTTCACGGTTCACCAATTCATAGAACCGGGCCCGTCCCGGGGATGACGGGCTGGTTCACGGGTTCCGGGCCGGTTCGTCAGCGGGCCGGTTCCGGGCCCAAAACCGGCTCATGGCCGTGTCTACTCGTACTCAGTGCCTACAAGTGCTCCACCGTGAGTGTTACTGTGGAACCCTCTGTCCCGGCAGGGAGCTGACAACTCCAGGCGTTGGTTCCTCAGTTAGTGGCTCCTGTGCGGGCTCTTTTCCTATAACCGCTGGGAGAGGAGGAGTTGCTTCTTCCTCCAACTGGCTCGAGAGGTCCCAAGCGATATTCGATGGCAAGGCCATGATGAACGCTTCCTTGGCTCTAGAAGCGTGGCTTAGCTTGTTTGCGTTCTTGATTCCCACAGACGGCGCCTTGATCCGTCCGAAGAAACACGGTCCTTGATGCGACTCTTGGAAGAACGGTGATGGTCTACAAAAGAGGAAACTAGACTGACGACGGAGTTAACACTTCGACGGTCAAGTCAGTAACAGTCTAATTTGATTCTTAGAGAGGATTCTTTGATATTATATGTGTGTAAAAAACGATAAGTAAAAACTCCCTGTTTTGTCCGGTGTGCCTCTCTTTATAGCATTTGCGCCTCACTTTCGTAGGAGTCAGCGAATCCCGGTCGAGGGTCTCCTCTACTGTTTTACGATGTCCATCTCCTGCCCTTTCTGGGTGGTCCGAATTATGATTAACGTTTCGATAGTTGGGGATCCTCTCTGTGGATCTTATAGGGGGTTTCATCCATGCTTTCCTAGCTTTTTGAATGCGCTCGGTCATTCGAGCATTAAATGCCATTGTCAGGGCATTTAATGCGCCGCTGAAGACATAATGGGCACTTGTCAGTGCCATCAAAGTCACCTTTCCATACTTGCCCCGGCCTTTAATGCCTACGATGAGACTGCCATAGTCTTCTCCGGAGCGCCGCTTGTATGCTCGGGAGGCCCCGTCAGCGCCCTTTAATGCGCCGCTTGTATATTAACTGTGAACTTAGTACTATCTCAAGAGTTCAATGATTTATTTTACATCTAATTTATTCTAATCAAATTTTAAATGAATGAAATACCAATTAGTAATGTCAATATTTCAAATATTGACATAAAAAGACCATGAAATAAAATGATTTTCATGTATACATTCATATCTCAAATATTGACATAAAATACTTCCAAAAATAAAATAAAAATATTGACATAAAAAAAGGTATGAAGTAAAATATTTTTCATCTACATATATAGATAAAAAGTAAAAATAAAACTTATTAAATTAAACAATCAAACTAAAAGGGTTTGCGTCCAAACTTCAAACTCAACCCGGTCTACTCTAAAGTCTTTCCTCAAACCCCAAAAAAATTTCGAAATTCCAATTTTCCACCATTCCAGCGCGTTGCGTTCACGCCCCCCGAGGACAATTTCCACAACGCGTTGATCAATTCATCTGAATCGGAAAATGGGAAACCCCCACGACCGCCATCCCCTCAACTTCAACTAGATCTTCATTTCTTTTCCGGAGTTAATTCGATTTTGCAGAAGAACCATGGCTAGGGTTACTACGCCCAGCGATAATTGGGAGAAGCTGGTCCGCGCAGTGCTGCGGAGCGAGCAGCGCGCCGGGCACGAGAGGACCACCAGCGGAATCGCCGGCGCCGTTCCGGATTCGCTTCAGAGGACCACCAACATCAATGCAATTTTGCAGGCCGCCGATGAGATTCAGTCCGAGGACCCAAACGTTGCACGAATATGTAAGTGGATACATATCGTTCGCTAATTGTAACTTACGCCTTGTTAGTGTTGTGGGTAGTTTGCTTAATTCAATTGGTTTACTTATCTACCGGAAGAAATTTGTTGTTTTAGTTATTAAAAACGGGGTTTAACATCAAACCCATTATTGCTGGTTCAGATTTTTGCTTCAATTTTAAGAGGGCGAGAAAACTCAAAAGCTGTTTTTTTTTTTTTTTTTGTAATTGGTTTATGTGAAGAAGATTATCCTAGTTCCGACATCAAAACTATGTTTTGGTTCATTTACTTATTTTGAGGAATCATTTTCTAATTCCTAAGAACTTTGCCTAGCAAAATGTGTGGAAGTAAAACTGTTATTTGATTAGTGAATATGAAGTTGGCCACATGCTTTAGTAGGTTTAATTTTGAGATAACCAATTTGGTTTGATTGTTTGACGTTTCAAGTACAAACTGAGTAGTATTCTTGGAATTAGAGTGCGTGTAGGCTTCTAAATAACAAAGTTGAAGTTAAGTAGATCTTGAAAGTGGTGTTGCTTTTTGAGGGAAAGTATTTCGTGACAGATCCGAAATCACTTACATTTTCATTTGGTGGAAGAAAACATATGGTAGGCAAATGAATCCAAAATTGGATTTCCAGCCCACACCGAAGTGTAGTAGTATTTGTTAACGAGTCTTTTATATGCGTTGATATCCATATTATAATCTGGATTACTACGGTGGGTGAACTTTGTACGAAAAGGTGGAAGTTAGCAATATATCTGGAGGTGTTGTCTCTAGTATTGGTTTATATGTTCAACGAACTTGAGATCTATATTTGTAGACCTTCTCTTTTGATAACCTGTGCATCCCTGGAGGTAGTTTATTATGTGCGTGTTTGACTGAAATTGGGCAATGGCTGTGATGAGGACTCTGTGATGGATATTGTTTCTAATCAAGCACATACACGGAAATGCTGACACGGACACGAACGCGAACACGGGGAAATACCATTTGAGAAAAAATTAGGACACGTGAATGTGTGGCTTATGCCTAAATATAAAAAAATATAGGGGATTATATTTATAAGTTATAAGATATATATATATATATATATATATATATATATATATATATATATATATATATATATATATCCCTATTTATTTATAAATTATATATTTTTACATATTTTCATTCAAATATATTCATATAAATATATTGCTATCATCTATCAATTTGATATTGATTGTCTTATAATGTAAATAATTAATGAAGCAATAAAATTATTTGGAGATTTTCTAGCGAGATGTGTTTCTAATTTTTTGAAAATTACAAAAACGACCATCACTATGACAGTTAAGAGTAGCGAACCTGTTACCTGTCTTTGTTTCTATCTCATCGTATCCCATTCTGTTCTGCGAGATTTGAAAATGACCGTCAATATCTCGGTGTAGGTCCTGGATAATCCTTTGCTCCACTGGGCATATAGTTTTTCACTGAAAAAGAAATTAGGGAACTTTAGAAATTTTGAAATTATCGCTACTTTTTTTTTAATAATTCAAATCCTTACAAATTGGGAAGTAGGGGAGGGGCATGATTTGAACCCTAGACCTCTACTCTAATAGTAGAGGTTAGGTACCAACTCTCCTGCTGAGGTTGGCTGAAATCTTGCTACTTAAAGATTGTTAGATGGGATGGTATTCCTTGGCATTCATGGACGACTAGGATATGTATCTTGTGAATGGAAGGCTCTTTGTTTTAATATCTTCAGTTTTCAAAATAACTGCTTATTTTCACCGACCTTCGCAATTTTCCAATTCCATTTGATTTGCTTTAAGTAGTTAAACTGCGGTGATCTGCTTTGTATTTGAACAATCTCCGACAGCTGAATGTTTTCTTGTTGAATTGAAGATTGCAACTATTTATTGATTCAACAATTAAAAATTTAATTCATGTCTATTCTTTGCTCAAGTGTGTGAGCAGGCATATAGTATGGCTCAGAATTTGGATCCCAGCAGCGATGGTAGAGGTGTTCTCCAGTTTAAGACTGGTCTAATGTCTGTAATCAAGGTACCGCAACAATTTTTTTTTTTAAATTTATTTATTTATTTATTATTATTATTTATAAATTTATTTGTTTGCATTGTGTATCTACTAGACAGAATAAATGTGTGTAAAACTTACAGGAAAAATAGCTTCCAAAATTCATTAGATAAAATAGAGAAAAAAAAGTTCGATTACATCAGAAAATGTCTATTCATATCAGAGCCTGATAGCAAAATTGCACCGACACACACCTAAATATCTGACAAAGTCATATTTCTTTCAAGTCCACAGTTGCATCATGATATCAAAAGTTAACTAAGAAGCAACAAAAACACCGACCACAGCATAAGCCTGTCAAGTCAATCAGTTGTAACATGTAAATTTATGGCTAACCTATACGTGTTACTTTTCTTTGATTTCTTCTATACTTTGGCTTCTTGATTTGGTATGTTAGTTACTTTTTTAACCAAAGCTTAGTCTTTTGATAATGATTCAATACTTCCTTCAAAGTTGTCAAGTCTTGTAGCTTCAATTTGTACTTTTTTTATTTCTGCAGCAAAAGCTTGCGAAAAAGGAAGGTGGCCAAATAGATCGTAATCGTGATATTGAGCGATTATGGGAATTTTATAATCAATATAAACGGCGACACAGAGTGGATGACATCCAGAGGGAGGAACAGAAATGGCGTGAAGCTGGCACTTTTAGTGCTGATGTTGGAGAGTGTGTTCTTCTTTGCTAATTGCCTTTTTATTTTACTATCATCAATTTTATTATTGCGGATGCTACTTTGGTTGATATTTTGTTCATATATACTACTAATACTGTGCAATAATGCTAACAAAACATATTTTGTTATTTTGCTGATGCTCTATCCTTTTTAATTCGAATGTTCAGTTATGTGCTCTCATGCTGATCTCCCCTCTTTAAACCTTCATTTCGGTTGTTAGATTCAACTGATTAACCCCCTCTCCATCCCTGCAGACGCTTTGCTCCTTTCCGAGGAAAAAACAAAAACAATCATTCTTTATTATTCCTGGTCTCTTATATAATACTAATGAGGCTTATGTTTTAAATGCATATTATATGTTTCAGCATGATCGTGTTGATTGTTATTATGTTCCAATGGTATTTGTGTGGTTCATTGCAGTATTTTGATCCTACTTATAGATTCTTCTGCCTGCACAAAAGGGCCTTACTAGTTTGCTTGTGATTTTCAACCTGTTTTAGCTTGGAGCTTAGATTCTCTGAAATGAAGAAGGTTTTTGCTACATTGAGGGCTCTGGTTGAGGTGATGGAGGCACTTAGTAAAGATGCAACTTCAGATGGTGTTGGAAGGCTCATTATGGAGGAGGTAGGTCCCTGTTTTGTACCCATGTCCTTAGCTCATATAAGAATGAAATTATATTTATTGATTCTTTTAAAAAACAATGCCCTTAGCAATGGCCTACTACCGATCCCAGAAAGAATTGGACCCTTGACCTAATACTATCCACCCCACCTGAACAACTCTCAGACAAGGCCTTCGCAGGCCTTCACAGTGAAATTCCATTTACTGTTCCTGATATTTCACTTGTTATTCTTTAATCTTTCTTTGTTTCCTGTTCATGTTATAGCACATATTGCTAATGCTATGAATCAATTTGGTGAAGCATCCAGTTCTCTTTGCGCTTACTTGTCTTGCTTAATTTCCCAGTTAAGAAGGATAAAAAAGTCCAGTGCAGCTATATCAGGAGAGCTCATTCCTTACAACATTGTCCCTCTTGAAGCACCATCTTTAACCAATGCCATTGGCTACTTCCCAGAAGTAAGTTAATGTGAATCATATACGTGGATTTCCATTCTTCTACAGTTCTACTATTCTGATTTTGCCAGGGAACCGCTGTACTCTTGTATAACGATATATTGTTTTTCTTTACAAGGGCGCATTTGTTATCTGAAGCTATAACCATCTGTTTCTTTGAAATGATTATCTGCTGTTGATGACGATTTTAGTTTTTCATTTTTTACTTTATGTTTTGTTTCTACCTGGTAAAACATCCATATGCTTAAGCTGTATTAACGTGGTAAATGTTCTAGATCTCTTATAACCTAGTTTACATGATAATATGTGCAGGTTAGAGGTGCAATATCAGCAATACGATATACTGAGCAGTTTCCTCGTCTTCCAGCCGATTTTGAAACTCCTGGACAGCGAGAATTGGACATGTTTGACCTTTTGGAATATGTGTTCGGTTTTCAGGTTTTGTTTCTTTCTCTTAGCTTCTATCTTATAGAGCACAATATTGTTGGTGGGTGTGGAGAACATACTCCTTACTTATTGAGTGAGATGAAAGTTACATTTGTCATCAGCTATATCATTTATTTCCTATTTGATGGACAAAAAGAATATAATATAGACTGTGGTCTACAGTTATTTGTGAATGAATATTATCTAGTAATTTAAGCATATAGAAAGTTTCTTAATATATGAAGCTTGTGTGTTCCATTAATATTTACTAATGTGTTAACTTAATACTTCTTCCGTTTTTCGTGATTAGTTTTACATTCTTGCTTTGGCTGATTTAAGTCTTTGGTGTTGCTTATTACAGAAAGACAATATAAGGAACCAACGTGAGCATGTAGTTCTCGCTTTAGCCAATGCTCAATCACGTCTTGGAATCCCGATTGATGCTGATCCAGTGAGTGGTCCAATTAGATTTACTTAGACAAAATCAGTTGTAGGTGTGGAACTGCAAAGAATATATGATAGCTAATCAGTTTTCGTATACTTCTTCACAGAAACTAGATGAAAGAGCTGTAAGAGAGGTCTTCTTGAAGTCCCTGGATAATTACATCAAATGGTGTAAATATCTACGGATACGCCTTGTATGGAATAGGTTGTTCTTCAACATCCTGCTATCATTTTAACTGACGAATAATCAACTAACTTATGTTCAATTTGTTCCCTGTAGTTTGGAAGCCATAAATAAGGACAGAAAGCTTTTCCTAGTTTCACTATACTTCTGCATATGGGGTGAAGCTGCGAATGCCCGTTTTCTTCCTGAATGCATCTGCTATATATTTCACCAAGTATGTATTTGATGACTGTAAATTGATACTTTATCGTTTACTATATTAGTCATGTTACAGTTTATGGTGTTACCTCATTTATAACTTTGACCAATTATTGTACTTTTCTCTCATCAATTTTGGTTACTTTTCCCCAAAATTGGTTCCCCTTCACTGCTATTTTGCCATTAGAGTTTTTTTTGGTCAACCTATGCTGATATGCTAACCTCATCTGCTGTTTACCTTTTCAGTTATTTTGCACAATTACTGATGCACTTTGTGTGTTATTGCGTTAGCTAAAATCTTATCAAATTACTTAATGATTGCAATATATGTCTTTTATTTTGACTAGAAGTTACAAAATTACTTTACATGATCAATGCATGTTATGTTGTTGCACTAGATATTTATAGTATTTATGACGTTTAATCTCATCTCCATATTCATTGGCTTTGCTTCTTTAGATGGCAAGGGAATTAGATGCAATCCTGGATCGTGCGGAGGCAACTCAAGCTGCAAGTTGTACCGGTGAAAATGGTTCTGTGTCGTTTCTAGAGCAAATCATTTGTCCCATATATGGGGCCTTGGCAGCGGTGAGTTCATTTGTTGGTGTTTGCTGTTGAAATTTTTCTGTCACCTGGTTTGCTTAAAAAGTGAGACACGCTGCACTTTATCAGAAAACCCGCTTGATCCATTTTCTTGGAAATCAGAACGGGCTCTATTAGTTTTTATACAAAGTGATTTTCACTTGGGACATCATGAGATGCTATTCAGTTATATGCTTCTCAATGGCGCAGTGATTTGTAGTTCTAGACACAAATTTTATTGAGCAAGATTTTTTTTAACCTTCTTTGGTGGCTGTCATTCTTCCCCTTATTCACAGGAAGCTGAGAGGAACAATAATGGGAAAGCTGCACATTCAGAATGGCGGAATTATGACGACTTCAACGAGTATTTCTGGTCTGCTGTTGTATTAATTATTCTAAGCGCTAGCAGGGTTTATTTATTTTTATTTTATTATTAGAGTAATAATAGTAATTATTATTTTTATCGTGATTATTGTTATTGTTATTGTTGTTATCTTGGATTACATTCTCAGCTCGTGTTTAGGTCACCTGCTTGCTTTGAGTTGAGTTGGCCAATGAAGAGAAATTCTTCATTTTTGTTGAAGCCTAAAAAAGGAAAACGGGTACGTTCTGATTATTTTTTCTTCCATTTGTATCTGTATTGTTTAGGATTAAATTAAACTAACTGTGTTTGCTACCTTTGTTTGATCTATTTCGCTCTTAATTTGTTACTGTTTTAAATCACAGACGGGCAAAAGCTCATTTGTTGAGCATCGAACTTTTCTTCATCTGTTTCGAAGTTTTCATCGTTTGTGGATGTTTTTGATTATAATGTTTCAGGTAAATGACATAGTGCTTTCTATAACATCTTGTCCCTAAATAAGCAGTCCACTTTTTCTTTGGCACTAATGCGCATTTGTTTTTACAGGCTCTTGCTATTATTGCTTTCCATGATGGGAAACTCAATCTTAATACCTTTAAATCACTCCTAAGCATTGGCCCGACATTTGCCGTCATGAATTTCTTGGAGAGTAAGGAGCAAATTATGTTATATTATTTTGGCTTTGCTGCCTTGACTTACTGTTTCTTGTGTAGTGTGCCTTGCTTTTTTGTTTTCTTCAGTAGTATTTGTTGCTTGTTTTAGGCTGTTTGGATGTTGTACTAATGTTTGGGGCTTATTCTACTGCCCGAGGCATGGCTATATCAAGGCTTGTTATCAGGTTCTTTTGGTGCGGCTTGAGCTCCGTATTTGTGCTTTACGTCTACGTGTGAGTGTATACTATTCAATTTACGGATTGTCTTGTTTAACTGATTATATTATTTGCTCATGTAATTAGACAATGGTTTCAGGAGACTGTTGCAGGAAAGGAATAAGAACACCTCAGATTCATTGTACTTCCGGATTTATGTCCTAGTATTGGGTGTATATGCTGGTCTGCGTGTACTTTTTGCACTGCTGCTCAAGTTCCCTGCATGTCATAGGCTATCGGAAATGTCTGATCAATCATTTTTCCAATTTTTCAAGTGGATTTATGAGGTATTCCTTTTTGTGTGTTAGCATGTCTAGCATTATTTAATTTTTAAGAAGGGGTCACCATCTGGTCTCATGAACGTAATGGGAAAAGGCTACTGAACAAGGAAAATATGTAGAATTGAAGTGCCGTACTCATCATTTTTTGTTCATTGCATAGACGATGTCTGCATTATTTTTCGAATCGTTATCAACCCGAGGTGGCAAGTGACCTAACACTAGCCTTCCCTTTAGATGTGTTAGAACACTACTGTTGGTCTATTGTTTCTATTTTGAGTGGGTTTGGTTTTTTATTTTATTTATTTCTTTATTTTTATATTTTCTTTGGTTCATCAATTTAATAGTTTCTTTGATCCAACCAACAAGGAATTCTATTTGTGCACTTCTTTTATAAATGACAAAATGCAAGATGATACTGATTTAGTCTTCCACGATTAAACAAAAAAATGGAGATACCTTTTACCCCATAATACTCTCTGCCGATAAATCTTGTGATTACTTTCAGGAACGCTATTTTGTTGGTCGTGGACTTGTTGAGAAGACTACCGACTATATGAGGTATGCCCTTATTTTTTGCTCATCTATTTCTGGCCTAATGTTTTCATGGTCGTGTTATTCTGCAAACACTGGAACTTCTAAATTTGCTGCTTGAAATCAATTTTATAGGACATTTGCAAACTGTCAGCTTATCTACTCTTCCAAACTGTCTACTTTTTGGTTCTGTGATTTCTTTTAGTGCATAAAGAAATTTATTCGAAAATGCAGAAAATGCAAATATAGTTCAAATTACAATATCTGAACTCTCTAGAACATTTCTCATATTTATCTTGTAGTTGCTTCCCAATATGATGTAAAATTTAAGGTGAATGAAAACTATAAAACTCAATAGGACATATATTATTCCAAAAGCAAAAGCATCTCAAGCTGTCAATAAATTTTCATCTCTCTACTTCTATTTTTTCATCTCCCTATTTCTATTCCCTATGTAGCACGGAAACTTCAACTTCATAAGGTTTCCGTGTTTCGGAGACGTTTCGTGTCTGACACTTGAGGACACCTGTCGGACACCTTATGGGCTATTTTGCAATTTATAAAAAGTTAGAAACATGTTTGATTTTGAATAATAAAGTTTCAAATATTTTTGTTACTTCTCTAATTATTTACATGGTTTAATGATCAATTTCAGACAGATTGTTGATAGTAAAATTTATTTTGAAAATGTTTGTGTGAAAATATATTAAAAGAATTTATATATAAATAAAAACTTGTATGTGTTTATATAGCATATTTATAAATATACCCCTATACTTTTAATATTTACACGTTTCCTCCAAGCTCCTGTATCCCCATTTTTGGGACATGCCGTTACTCCGTATCCGTTTTCCCGTTTCCCTGTATCGTCGTTTTCGTGTCCGTGCTACATAGTCTATTCCTCGATCTCTCTATTTCTTATTCTCTTTCTTTTGTTCTACTGGTCTCCACTACCACCTTTGAGCCATCACCACTCTTTGTCTGACCCGTATCATTATAAAATCATTCAACGAACTTACTTATCTACGTTTCCGCATCTCTACTTCATATTGGGAGAACCAGATGTACCACATTCCACCTTCTCTACCACCTTTTGCTTTCTGCTTTGTGTTCATTCCTTGAGATTGAGTACGATAATTACGACTGTGTAGACACTTAAGGTATTTCTCCTTTTCTGACATGGTTAGACTGCACAGCAAGTGCTACATTATTGTCAGTGGCCTCGGTGGCTGACTCACATGATAGTAAATATTCCCACTGAATTTCCAGATGAAACCATTCATTTGAAACGATTAATTGCTTCTGAAATTTTTAGTCGTGATCATGTTTAAGGGGTTATTTTGTCATGTATACAGTTAACAAACATATCTTTTTCTAAATGTGATTGTGCACTGGCTCATCATGTGTTCACTGCTTTGTCATTGCAAGTTAGACTTTGATTGAAGCAGGAATTCTATTCGTTATGTTTTTGACGAAATACATTGGATCTTAATACTCTGCTGGCGATACACAGAGGTGTTTGAAACTAATTTAAATTCTCATCATTTAGATATGGATGTTAAATACATTACACTGGATAATAGTGTTACTTTGAAAGGATATATATGGAAAATGATTGGACATATACACTTTGGCATTTTTCTTCTAGCCTTCTCATGTTTCATTAGAATCTATACAACATAAAATTATGTCTCAAACAAGGACTACCGTATCTAATCAGGGCCCAGACATGTTATTTCTTATTGGTTTCTATTTATCTCGTCTTACTGGCTTTTGTTTTTAATCTTCAAATATGCAGCTACGTATTTTTCTGGCTGGTGATCTTTGCTTGCAAATTCCCTTTTGCTTACTTTCTTCAGGCAAGGCCCACTATCGTTTTCTTGAATTGTTTGGTACCACTACCATATAATAATATGTCTTGTCTGAACGAGTGATATCTTTTTTTTTTTCGTTATTTATGACAGATTAAACCTTTAGTCGGGCCAACCTTGATTATTATACATCTGCCGCGGCTTCAATATTCATGGCATGATTTTGTATCAAAGAGTATGTTTTTCTTTCTTATATTCTCTGCTAGCATTTCTTCCCTTGCTATGGGGAATCTGCGTCGTAGCCTGACCCTTGATTGTCATGTATTTGTAAAGAAATAAATGATAGTGTGAGCTTACGAGAAGCTGTTGGTTGGGATATTGGACACTAAACACAGTTTTCAGTTTCACTTTTATCAAATCCATATGAGTTGCTGTTTGACTAAGATGACCTTACTCAAAATAACTTCTCAAGATATCCACTATGCTGATTATCAGCATTTTTTTTAATGCTCGGCTAGAATGGCTGGTCTAAGAAATTTCTTCATATGAACTTGCATTTGCTCAGCAAACCTGAAGAAAGTATCAAGCCATGTTTTTGTCCCGATACTTTGCTTTCATGTCACCAGTCGCTACATATCCTGCAATTTCAGAGTTGTTGAATTTTCTATTCATGGGTATCTGTGTTTTGTCTATTCGTGGGTATCACAAGCTGTAGTTGTTAGGATAGATCAGTTTTTGAGCTCACAAGGAACTGAGGAAACTAATATTCACTTTCTGGAGTTTCCATTACCAAGGAAATTTTGAAATAAAAAATCAACAGATCTGTGATCAACTGACCATTAAAGACTTGGTTAATGATCAATCCCAGGAATGAAGACCATTCCTTTATTGTTCAAAGATTTTATAATCAAAGTTACTGTAGTTGTTATTGGTTTTTCATCTCGTATTGAGTGCAATATTTGTTTTTACGATTTGTGGTAGATTCAATTATCATAGAGTTCATGTTTGGGTGATTTGTTGTTGAATAATAATTTTCATTGTTTGCACAATAATCTGATGCTTTCCTATGGTATTTTTACTGCAGACAATAACAACATGTTGACTGTAGCTAGTTTGTGGGCACCTGTTGTGGCTGTGAGTATACCCATTTTCCTTCATGCATTATGCATATGCAGTTTCAGAAGATCATTGATTTGAATACATTGCAAAAAAAAAAAAAAAAAAAAAAAACCTATATGGCATCTAATGCATCACAGGACAGTGGACAAGATAAAAATTTAAATTGCTGTTCCCTTTCACCTGATAAAGGTATTGCTTTACATCTGCAGCAGGAAGCATTCGGAGTAGGGGGTGCAAAAAGTAGATCATTTGAAAATTTCTCTGTCACGCTTGAGATTGTGTAGAACTTGTAGGCTAAGGCTCGTTTGTTCCTTCAAGTATGCTTCATATTGCCAAGGGTTACACTAGAAAATGTGCACGTGTTCACCACAAGGACACCACTTTTAGGAGCTTTTCTAACCTCAATGATTCCTTTAACTTCGGGGTTGATTTGGATTTAACGCCCCATCTTACCTTTACTCTTCTTGTGGGGAATGCACCTGCAACAGTGCACTTTGATGGCATGATTGTCAATTGTCGGTTCGGTTCCTTTATAATCACCATCATCATTAGTTCGAGTTCCAGTCTTGGTTGTAGGCTTCGACCTGTTTTTTCAATCGTTATAATCCTACTTCCTTTTGTTCATACGTGAAAACAACTCCAATAGTTGCATTAGGACTTCCAACTACCTTTCAGTGTATTGCATATTAGTGAGTATGCATGCTCAGACTGTCAACTGTCAAAAATAGCTTCGGTAGAATGTCCGCAAGCTAGAAGAAAAATCATGGAGCACAATTCAAGGCTTTGTATCGCAAGTTAGAAGCCTTCTGTACAGATAAAAGACCAGTAATGTGAATACTTAAACTACACCATCTATTCAACTACTCTCGTTGACGTAGATTTTGTGGACTTCACTGACAGAAGCTCTAGTTCTAAAGTAGCCTGAAAGGAAACCAATAACTAAATGAGCATTTATTTCTTTTTCCTGCCACAAGCATAACCAATGTGGCACTTGCTATCTATTATGTTTTAGGTAAAACTGAGCTGTCTATTTCTCCTGGCTGTATAATGCTGTGGAGGATTTTTTTTTAATTCCTCATATTCTGTAGCATTTGAAATATATTTTCACATTCAGTATTCTTTTCTCTAATGGATGCAATGAATTTTTTCAATGACCATGCACTTTAGCTCATTTATAGCCTATAAGGCTTTCTCTTCTGACCTTTCTTCTATTTTAATTTCAATATCCTTTCATTTGATTACTCACTCTGCCCTGATCATTTGAATCTGTAGATTTATATCATGGATATTCACATCTGGTATACTCTACTATCTGCAATTTATGGTGCTGTGATGGGAGCGAGGGGTCGTTTAGGGGAGGTATCGATCAGTCTTTGCAAGCTACCATATTCTGTGTTAAACCAAATGCAAGACATTTTCTTTGTCAACTAATGTCATGTATAATTATAATGTTTCATTTGTAGATTCGATCAATAGAAATGGTTCACAAGAGATTTGAAAGTTTTCCAGAGGCTTTTGTAAAGAATCTTGTTTCTCCACAAATCAAAAGGTAAGTTTAGAAACCTGATTCTCGAATCAGTTAAAATTGTGTTTGTTTGACCTTGAATTGACATTTTAATCATATGTAATTATAGGATGCCTTTTGAGAGAGAATCATCACAGGTCTGTTTGTCTGGAATCTATCAACTTTTTATTTGTTTGAATTAGCTTGAACTTGCTATGGCATATTTACCGTATTTACCATATATGCCTTATTCGCCGCTAACCATTATATGGTGCTTCTTTGCTGAGTATTGATATTGATTTCAGAGTCCTCATGACAATAACAAGACCTATGCAGCCATATTCTCCCCCTTTTGGAATGAAATCATAAAAGCTCTGCGGGAAGAAGATTATATTAGTAACCGGTAGGTGGTTATGGGCATATTTATTATTGTTAAAGAGCTGTATAGTAGAACCTTGATAAATTAATAACCTCGCTTAAATAATATTTTTCCAGTCCCGACTCGGGTACAACGTTCTAAATTAATAATTCGCTAAATTTATAAGATAATACACATTCGAAAATTGTAAGAAGTCCCATATAATATATAAATTAATAATGCATAAAAGTAATTCTTAAATTACATAGTACAATGCATATTTTTTATAGATCTATGAAGGCTTAATAAAATATGATATATTTGTCTCTTGTTTCTTGTTGAAGTTCATATCACCATCAATCTGGTCCCTCACTTTTCTTAATATGGTTGGAACTTCTGGTATAGTTTTCTCATAACTCAACAGAAAATTGTTCAATAACATTACTGCTTTAAGAGCTTCCGTTCGAGAAATGGGCTCTATGGTACAATGAATAATCTATACGTAAAAAATTAAAAAAACTGTATTTGTTGAAAATAATAATAATAATAATAATAGTTTCATAAATTAATAAGTTTATTAATTAATGTATAAATTAATAATTATTAGTTTATCGATAAGTTAATATTTCGCTAAATTAATAACATTTTGATGGTCCCAACTGTATTAATTTATAGAGTTTTCACTTGTATATCCTTATTTTCAAATCTGAATATATATATATATATATATATATATATATATATATATATATCCTTTGATTCTAGTTTACATTTTCAGGGAGATGGACTTACTTTCTATGCCAAGCAACGCAGGAAGTCTGAAATTGGTTCAATGGCCACTTTTTCTTCTAAGCAGCAAGGTGCTGCATTTTTAACTTACTTCTCTCTCTTAAATTACACTAGTTGCCTCAAGATCTGTTTTAGTCTGCTTAGTTATCAGTAGCCACCATCATTTTTTTTTCTTTCAGATCTTACTTGCCATTGATTTAGCTTTAGACTGCAAAGACACTCAAGCTGATCTTTGGAATAGAATATGCAAGGATGAGTACATGGCATATGCTGTGCAGGAGTGTTATTCAAGTATTGAAAAAATTCTGCACTCCCTGGTTGATGGAGAAGGAAGACTATGGTCAGATATTCTTACTTGCTGAAAGAAAGATTAGATTTTGTCTCGTTTTCTCAATATAAGGAATATTCTGTTTCTTGATTATCTTCTTGTGCTTATTTCTTTCATTGCAGGGTTGAAAGGATATTTCGTGAGATAAACAGCAGTATATCTGAGGGGTCTCTTGTTATTACTTTGCATCTTAAAAAGCTTCAGGTGGTGCTCTCCAGATTTACAGCCTTGACTGGACTATTGGTATTTTTTTTTACCCTGTAGTCCAAATTGTTTCTTTTTATTGCTAAAAATCTATAGGAATCCATGTACTTTCCTCCTTTGTGATCTTAAATGAAGCTCCACATCCAGCACCTTTCTTTTCATCAATAACTGATTTATTAGTCATAAAAGTTCTATCTGATTGTTGAGAGCAATAGAGTTCCTGCCACTTCTATCCTTGATTACTCCATGGAAGAAATTAGTCTTCTGTTGGACATCTAAGCTTTATCTGATTACCATTTACCTTCTAATGACTCAATAACATATTCATAATACAAATAGAAGCTAGAAATCAAATGAAATAGAGAAAATATTAGAGTAAGATAGGAAATCTGTTATCACATACTGAATTCCACTACGGTTATCACTTTGGTTTAATATTTATCATTTATTGTTATTGTAATTCTTATATTCAGCAATACAGATGGGCAATGCTCTGTTTACCCATAATATTTCATTTGTTGGTGGAGCATTAACATTCAAAAGCAAAACTTGATTTTGTTTTTAATTCCTTCTTCAAAAGAATGTCGTAATGTCGAGTCATTTTATAATAATTTATGTCATAGCGCTCTAATTAAGTATGTGCACGGCATCCTTTTGAAATTGCACAATTTGTACTGCACATGATATTTTTTTCTGCTACTGCAAGCAACCTCCTCCAACAGGCTGATGCTTTCTCTTTACCTGTTTCTTGGTTTTGGATGAGTTTACTGCTGCTAGAGATTAGTAGTGTGTTCTTAGTTTCCTTAGTTTTCAATTTCGTATCTTCTTTTCCTTCTCTATTTATCGAGAGTTACAGAAATGATTCTATCTCACTTCATGTACATTGCATGGTACTGTGTCAAGATTTGAACTGTTATTCAGTTCTTCAAATTATTCTTCATTCACTACCTTTTGATGATTGTTAAAACATGAAATGTACAGAACGAGTTCATTTATGAATACCCAGTTCTCTTTCCTTTTCCTTTTCTATTACGCTGACCTCTTTATATTTTATCCAGATCCGTGATCCTACTCCTGAACTTGCAAAGGGTGCAGCTAAAGCTGTGTATGATTTTTATGATGTTGTTACGCATGAGCTGCTCTCATCTGATTTGAGGTAAACAAAACAGTGCATAGTTTTTTCTCATAATGGTTTAATTAATCATTTGTCTAAAATTTGACATATTACATGATGTGTACTTTGTTTTCTCCAGGGAGCAGCTTGATACATGGCAAATACTGTTGAGGGCTAGAAACGAGGGACGTCTCTTTTCAAGGATAGAATGGCCAAAGGATCCTGATATTGTAAGCTTCCTGAGTTCCTATTTTTACCTGATAGTATCAAAGAGTGGGCTGCCTTTAACGGTGTTTTTCGGAACAGAAAGAGCAGGTGAAAAGATTGCACCTTCTCCTGACTGTAAAGGACAATGCTGTTAATATACCCAAAAATCTCGAAGCAAGAAGAAGATTACAGTTTTTCACCAATTCATTGTTTATGGATATGCCATCAGCTAAGCCTGTTTGTGAAATGATGCCATTCTGGTAGTGTTTTTGCTATTGTTATTGCTACCTATAATCACTTTATATGTTTCACTTCACTTTCGGTTAAGATTATTTTCACATTGCTTGGTAATTCACTCTAACTTGTTTCCTGCTCTGGTTTGTTTTGAGATAGTGTCTTCACGCCGTACTACAGTGAAACGGTGCTTTACAGCAACTCCGAATTGCGGCTTGAAAATGAAGATGGAATATCAACCCTTTTCTATCTCCAGAAAATATTTCCAGGTTTGTTATTTACTTGATGTGAATCTTGAAATAACTATGTCACATGTTCTGCTGTGAACTTAAAACAACCTGAAATATGACTAAGAAGCCAGTGCAGAAATAGATCTTCATCTTGACAATCGTCTGTTGTAAATGGATTGGAGTTAACTGTGGAAATTAGCTCAACTAGCTCAATAGTTTTGTTTTTAAATAATTGCGTTTTAAAAAAGGAGAGTTTATCTGTATGAGAGTTTTTGGAATAGAAGTGTCATTTCCATTGAATTACTGTGGTAAATATACAAGGAGAATCAATAGAGAGCCCTCAACAAATCAGGATCCTACATAATAGGAAACTAATGAAAAAATAAAGAATTCATAATAATCTGTTGTACATTAATACAGCTAATATACACGTAATCTCACATACGTATACATATAATTCTACATTCTTCTGAAGCTGTGTAAATGTGTAATGACTACTTGTCACGCCTGTTTCGAACACATGTCTTGAAGGTTAGAACGATGGAGATCTTTGGTTTGAACTTCTGCTGTTGGATGCTGAGTAGGAACATGGTTTAGAGTGATGATCTGCTTCTCAACCTTCCCACCTACAAAATGTCTATCAGTGTTGTTGAACGATCACCTAAATCTAAAAGCTTAAACTATTAGTGAATTAAATCATTTAATATTTTCTGTCTCCAAAACTAACGTGCATGTGTGTTATATTTTGAGCCTTGCACATGGATTTTTTTTTTGAAAGGGGTGGTGGTGGGATTCAAATAAAAACCTTTCATTGGCCTAGCTCTGATACCATGATATCATGTTGAATGACCACCTCATCTAAAAGCTTAAGGTGTTAGTATTGTGAATTATTTAATATATACATCTTAAATCTTAAATAGTTAGCATCTTAAAACTTCAAGGCGCTTGTTTCAAAAAGTGCTAATTGGATAAGGTTAACTGTTTTCTCGAAGTTCCTCTTTTTTTTTAATTTTCATTTTGTATATCACTTCTATATTGTTTGTCTTTTGACACTTAATTTTCAATTGCCACTGATTTTGTTTTTACCTTTTTAGATGAATGGGAGAATTTTTTGGAACGTATTGGTCAAGGTGATATTGGCTATGCAGAGATTCAAGAAAATTCAACTAGCGCTCTGGAACTCCGATTTTGGGCATCTTACAGGGGACAAACTTTAGCTAGGACAGGTTAAATAGCTCTGTTTATGTTCCTTTATCTTGTTAGTATTCAATTAAAAATCGCCTGAATTCGGGAATTCTGATGTTTCCCACATATCACTTATGACAGTTATTTTATTGTGTTCTATGCAGTGCGTGGTATGATGTACTACAGAAAGGCACTGATGTTGCAGAGTCATTTGGAAAGAAGATCCCTAGAAGGTTAATGCTTTGTCATGTCAAGATCTAATATGCCATGAGAAATCATAATAATCCTCAGTGTTTTCTTTCATGCAGAGGATGTCTCTTCTCGGACAAGTTTCACAACTCAAGGTTTTGAGTTGTCACGTGAAGCACGTGCTCAAGCTGATATAAAGTTCACTTACGTTGTTTCCTGCCAAATATATGGGCAACAAAAGCAGCGGAAAGCTCCCGAGGCAGCTGATATTGCTCTACTTCTGCAGAGGTGTGAATTTTAAGTTTAATTCTATCTAATATCATAGCTGCATATGGGCGTTTGTGTTATACAGATATCTGCTATCTTTGTGTTGACTGTAAAAATACTTTATTCCCAGTGCTATATCCTGTTTACTTTCTTCCCTTTGTCTATCTAGTAGGAGGGGTGTTTAAGCACCCTGATATCACTGATGCTCCCAGTTTGAATTGCAATATAAGACTTTGGACTGGAGTATGCAATTACCAAATTTTAGTTTGCCATGTTTCACATATCTGAATATGGATCAATGAGATGTTGTAATTGATCTAATTTATGTTTCATTCTTCAGAATTTTATTCTCATATTGAGATCATTCAGTTGAAAAGCTTTGGCTCGTATGATTATGCTTAGTTTTCTCTTAGAGAAAATTGATGGAGCACTTTCTTTTAGTATGTAATATTGATGGTGAAATTACATTACTCATATAATATCTTCAACCGAAAATTGGGTGTTCAGTTTCACCATGTAGTTTAAATTAGGTTCGAATACGTGCAAGTTTTGTGCATGTGGCTGTTGGGAGAAGGAAAAACTAGTGCAGATGAGATAGTGGTGTCACATAATTGCTATAATCAAGAAGCTAGTGTTGAAAAAAAGTTCCATATCTGGAAACTTAATCTTATCAAGAGACACCAGGAACTGAATGCGAGGCAGTAAACTTAGAATTGAGAGAGTGTGAGAATATATTTAGGAATTAATATTTGATTAGGAATTTATTATATTAGGTAATTCTTAGGAGATTTATTTCTGTCTTAGGGAACAAGTTTTTTCTAAATTGGAGTCTATTCTGTCTGGCTAGGCTTTTCTATTTTTCTGTTCTAACAGAGAGTATAGAGCAGCCCACCTATTGATGATGTACCTGATTATTCATTAGATTTTCTGAGTTGTCTCTTCAGTGACCTTGTCGAAGAAGTTGCTTTCTCTAATAGCTGATGTTACTCCAAATTGTCAAAGAAGAGCACCTTGATTTTAAATGGATGAAATATTTGCTCATATAGTTGAACATTATAACTTATCCTCCCTGTTTAAGCTCACATTTTCTATTTTGGTTTTTGTTTAATATAGAAATGAGGCACTTCGTGTTGCTTTCATCCACGTAGAAGAGAGTGGTGCAGCTGATGGAAATGTTACAAAGGAATTCTATTCAAAGCTTGTTAAAGCCGATGCAAATGGGAAGGATCAGGTAATGGATTTGGAAACTCTCAGTCCTCTCGCTTTAGTTGATGTATCTAAAAGTTTCTATATTTTCTTGGTGAATCTAGAAAACAATGCTTTTTGGAGATCTCTGATGCATACGAATATGTTTGGTCTGTTTCACTCATTACAAACATAAAAAAATCAACTGAAGATTTCCTTTTATGTTTTGCTTGATTGTTTTGATTTTACCCTTTTCTCGTTCTCACTTTGCTTTCCCTTGATACATCTAATGTAACTGTTCAAGGGTAATGCTCCACTTATGCGTAAGGAATGTTAGGTGCACACTGTAGAATTTGGTAATTTGAATCTCTGTTCTTTTCATCTAGTTCTGGATTTTGAACTCACTTTTCAATGTACAGGAAATATTTTCTATTAGACTTCCTGGAGATCCTAAGCTCGGGGAAGGGAAACCTGAAAATCAAAACCATGCAATAGTTTTTACTCGTGGAGAAGCTGTTCAAACAATTGACATGAATCAGGTAACATATATGATTCTTTTTTTAACAGTGAACCTTGCTTCATGATGTTTATCATATAATTATTATCTGGATGTTTGTTGTGCTCTCAAAGCTCAAGTGCTATTGCACAACCTTCTGACCTTTGAATTATTTCTATCCTTCAACTGCGTTTATAAAAATGTTGGCCCAATAGGAAATGTTTGGCATTTTAAACACTTCTCTTTGAAGCCTCAATAACTTGAGCATTAACATGCACCAATTACGAGCTAATGAAATTGCTGAAGCATAAGGGAAAAAAGAAATCAAGGATACAATTTATAGACCTTAATATTTCTCGCTTTAGGTCCTGGCCTCCCCCTGATGTGGAATAGTTTTTCCCGTGTCTGGTCCTTTTTCGATAGTTTTTACAACACAAACTCATTCTATATTGAAATCAGGCCTAGCCTAAAAGAACTAATTTCCAACAAACACTCCCTTGCAGACTTGTATTATTTGTAATGTTGGCAACACATATGCTAATGAAAGAATAAGTGATTTGTTTTTGACTTTGTTCCACGATCGATAATAAGGTCGATTGAATGAACGAAAAGAATCAATTAGAAGAAAAAGAAGGGAAACAACCCGAAATAAGAATGCAGTAGGAAGATGCACCATGCATATTGCAAAGGATAACATTCAAGGGAGTTGTGAGCGGCAGAAAGCAAGAAGTTTGAATTAGTACTTACTAAGATTTTTGGTTTTAAGGGGACTGAGTGACTTGGTTTTCAGGGTTTCAGTTTTTCCTTAATGGCTCATAAGACTGAGGCTGAATTCACCAACAATACACTACTATAAAATCAATCAGATAACTGCGATTTTGAATATATATATATAAATTAAGTAATTTCCTCTGTGGGCATGGGTTCCGTTTTGACACACTCATGCACCTGCTTTACGACTTAGGTCCTGACATAAGATTCAATGTTTATAGCATCAGATGATTCTACAGTATTTCAATCTTGTTTTTGATTTGTACCATGCAAGTCTTCTGTCGTAACAACCGTTAAAAGTTGTAATTAATCAATAATCTGAATGAGTCATACTTTTATTGTTTTGATGAGTTCTGCTGTCACTTTTTTTCCTCTGTATTTTGTGAGATTGTTCTTTCTTCAGTAATCTTTGTGTGTGTCTGCTCTAGGATAACTACCTCGAGGAGGCAATGAAAATGAGAAATCTCCTTGAGGAGTTTCGGGCAAACCACGGTCTTCGACCTCCCACAATTCTTGGAGTAAGAGAGCACGTCTTCACTGGAAGGTCGGGCGTCCTCGCTCTTTCTCACACACACACACACACACAACACACTTATGCTCACTCGTAGGCTACTGTTCATTCTTCATTCGTTGAACTCACTTCAAATCTCTGTTAATTTTATGCTTAAAATATGCAGTGTTTCCTCTTTAGCTTGGTTTATGTCCAACCAGGAAACTAGTTTCGTGACCTTGGGTCAACGTGTTTTGGCGTGTCCTCTTAAGTAAGTATCTTAATAAATTTTAGACTTGGGAAAGCCTTCTTACTTATTTTTCATATGCATTTTGTTTTAGTGTTCCTTCTGTTTGTTTGATTTTTATTTCTTGTATGTTATGCAGTTATATTACTATCTAACAATTAATCTTGTACCATTACCCTCGCTTTAAGTACTGGAACTAATGTGGGGGACTATATCTAATAGTAGAATATTAAATCTTGCAGAGTCCGTATGCACTATGGGCATCCAGATGTCTTCGACCGAATTTTTCATATTACTCGAGGTGGAATTAGTAAATCGTCACGCGTCATTAATATCAGTGAAGATATTTATGCAGGTAGTTCAGGAATTTCAAGAACCCATGGTTCCAAAGTGATTTAAGTTTAATGTTCCCCTAAAACAAGTATTAAGTGTTTTATATTCCTGACAGTGGTCCCTTGTTCATGTTGTCAGATAATCATTCACCGTGTTGTAGAAATAGCATGTTAGAAAATGACATCTAGGTGTTGTATCTACATATAGAAACCTGCTGTCTTTCTTCAAAATAGAGGATTTATGATGTTATCTATAGCACAACAAATTCCATTTTCATCGTAACAATCATGGTAGGGTTTTGCTGTTTGTATGGTGTGATACACAAGATATGTGACGTATTTAATGCGTCCTGACATCAATGCACCGCTGCATTCATCATATTTGTTCACTTAAACAATCTTTTAATGGGGTGGGCCGTTAGACACTTTCATGTTGTTATCCAGTCACTTACACACAAATATACGTTATATATATGCATATATCTATCTATATTATACATATTTTTTCAATTTTGTGAAATTGTGATAGAAAGGTGAACCTGAGTTATGGGGTAAACCATCTGTTGATCTCTTGTTTACTGGTTGGTGTGTGTTTTTACATTCATTATTTTGTGCTCCAAATGATACAATTCTCGCATTCAGACATGAAGAGTTTGTCTAATTTGTCTGCATTCTAATGGCATAACCATGAGTTGCCAGGAAAAATCTGGTGCTAATCACAACTATCAGCGATATTACCATCCTTTAAATATACTTTGGTCATTCTATATGTTAAATCTAGAATGCGAACTAACTTTTCTGCACTTATTTATTTATTTGTTTATTCTGAATTTACAGGCTTCAATTCTACATTGAGGCAGGGAAACATCACTCACCATGAATATATTCAGGTCTGCGTGAATTTACGTAATATATCAAATGAAAGGATATATCAACCTGTATCGTCATAGTGTTTCTTATTCATTAGGTTGGAAAAGGAAGAGATGTTGGTTTGAACCAAATAGCTTTGTTTGAAGGCAAAGTCGCTGGTGGGAATGGGGAGCAAGTATTGAGCCGGGATGTATACAGGCTTGGGCAACTTTTTGACTTCTTCAGAATGCTATCTTTCTTTTTCACAACTGTCGGTTTCTATGTTTGCACGATGGTATAGATATTGATGCATTCGTCTATTTGTGGAATTGAACTAATGGTTCTTTAAACTTCTTTTTAACTATCTCGTGAATCTCTTTTTCAAATGCAGATGACTGTGCTTACCGTTTATGTATTTCTGTATGGAAGAGCATATCTGGTAACTTCTCATTGACTCAACTATTTATTTTACTTGCTTACTTGTTCAGGGTTTATCCTCGTAGTATACACCTTATTAAAAGATATAAGAGAGCCTTTATTTGCATTGGTCCTTTCAAAATTAACTGTGTTTTACAATACACAAAACTCATACAGCTGATTGACACATATCAATGAAATAATGACTGTTAAATCTATACCTGGGGGTTGTTGGATCGGATGGATTAGAAATAGCTATTCTGCAAACTTTAACTAAAGGAGTGGTCAACATCTTTAGCGGTAACTTGTAATACTACATTGATGCCATTAGCTTTCTTTATTATCTATGTTCTTGTCGAAGTAAGAGTTATATTAAGGAAGTAACTCTGTATGGACAAAAAAAGAAAATTTGGCTTAACGGACAAGGACATGAAAGTTAAGAGCTGTACTGGTCTGTGTGTAGCCAATTAACCTCCTAAAAAGTGGACCGTGGTTCCGTTGCCTATTTTTAATACAATCTGATGAAACAATGAAGAATGTACCTGAGTAAGAAACTTCCAAGAAATGGAATGGAGGCACTCAAATCTTGCAATTTGAGGTTTCGTATGAGATGCGATAACAGTAACAGTCTACGCTGATATTCCAGGGCTATATGCTTAATTATAAAACTACTTCTCAACATAATGGGATGTCTGTATCTATGTGATCCTGCATAATCATCTCTAGGCTGTTTTATAACTATCCCGATTTTGATGCTAACTTTTGCAACCATTCTCTACACGAAGGCATTGCCTGAGGGGTGTTGGGGTGGAAAGGGCAGTAATAGTTCAAGGGTTCAATTCCTTTGCATTCGGTATTGTACGCCATTTATAAAATAAATTAATAGATTAACCTTTAAACCGTTCTCCCTTTTAATTTCTCAGGCATTCTCGGGACTTGATCAAGGAATTTCAGACGAAGCAGACGTTTTGGGCAATACTGCATTAGATACTGTTCTGAATGCTCAGTTTTTGGTCCAAATTGGAATTTTCACTGCAGTTCCCATGGTAATGGGTTTTATACTTGAACTGGGATTGCTGCAGGTATGTTCTACTATTCTTCAGAATCCGTTAATGTTATCATGTTTTCACCATTTGATGTTGGAGCCGCAATACTTTATATTTTGCTTCAAATTCATTTTCTATCTGGTTGGGGTAATACTTTACGATTATAATGAGACTTATCTATTTCTATTTTCGCTATAAGTGTGCGTCATTCCATTATGTATCATCATGCATGCAAGGATGAGTTTCATTTATCATGCTTTAACCTTTTGTATTTACTATTTTCACTTTTGTCACTTTCTAAGATCTAATGATATTCTGTTATCACCATTTGATGTTTGGAGCAGCAAGATTTTACATTTGGCTTCAAATTCTTTTTCTACCTGTTGAGATAGTGTTTTAGGATTAGAATGAAACATGTCTATTACTATTTTTGTTACAAGTGTGTCAATCCATTTCATATTGTCATGTCTGCAAGGATGAGTTACATTTATCATACTCCAACCTTATGTATTTGCAGGCTGTTTTCAGTTTTATCACGATGCAGCTTCAGCTTTGTTCCGTCTTCTTTACTTTTTCGTTAGGGACAAGAACCCATTATTTTGGACGTACCATCCTCCATGGAGGTGCAAAGGTATCTGAATTTCTGGCTGTGGTGTGCAATAATGTTTATATTATGTAGGTCAAATTTGTTGTGATCTATTGAATATGGTTTTGCAGTATCGAGCTACTGGAAGAGGTTTTGTTGTTCGTCACATCAAGTTTGCAGAGAATTATCGACTTTACTCGAGAAGTCATTTTGTTAAGGCGTAAGTGGCTTTGTCTTCACATAAGTACTCTCTATCTATCTCTCTGCATGTCTTTGCATGAAACTGCATGATTTGTGTACTTAGGCTGTCCTTGTGTGGTTTGGGTTTATTTGTCTTTTCATTACGACATTTATTTCATGATTGTGACTGTAAAATATTAACAGGCTATTGATATATATTTCAGGCTGGAAGTAGCATTGCTTCTAATTGTTTACATGGCATATGGTTACTCGGAGGGAGGTGCTGTTACCTTTGTTCTGTTAACTATAAGCAGTTGGTTTCTTGTGTTCTCTTGGCTCTTTGCACCTTATATATTCAATCCATCTGGATTTGAATGGCAGAAGTAAGTTATTATTTTAGCCCTAAAATGGTTCGTTAGCTAGTCATCTGCTTTATTTCTTGGCTGTCTTTTTTAGTTTATGAATCTGGTTCATACTTAGCTATCAAGTGTTACAAACAATGGAGGAGTTTCAGAATTCACATCTTAAGGGAGGGGGGGAGGGAAGGAGTAGTATCCCTATAATTTAGCTAATAAATTCTAGCTATTTACAGTGCTTATAACTTGTAACACCAACTATGAGCAATTTCGCTATTTGAGGCTTTCAAGTATGAGCTTTTCATAATCGAGGTGTTGATATTTTTCTGATAGTATTAAAAAATGTAACCTGTATTGTGCAGGACCGTAGAGGATTTTGATGACTGGACCAATTGGCTGATGTATAAAGGTGGAGTTGGGGTCAAAGGGGATAATAGCTGGGAGTCATGGTGGGAGGAGGAACAGGTTTGTGTTCCTAAATTTTAAAAATATACGGTTGAGCTGGAATATTCCCTCTATTGTGTAATGATAGTTGACAAGCCTTTATTAACAGGCAAAGAGTTTAAATCATGTCTTTGGTACTGTTTTCAGAAGATGATCAATATTATCAATCTTTTTGAAAGCAATCTACAATCTATTGGCATGATGATGGTTTTCTTTACCTTTTTACAAGTTAATAGTTTGTTTGATCAGTTAACTTTAACGGCTCTTCTAACGAGAAGTTGATTCCTTTTCTGCAGACACACATTCAGACTTTGAGAGGCCGTATACTTGAAACAATATTGAGCTTCAGATTTATAATGTTTCAGTATGGCATTGTTTACAAACTCCATCTTACTGGCAGAGATACTTCCATTGCGGTATACTTTTCTCAATGAGCTTTTCTGTGGTATCGCTTTAGCATTTAACTCTGTTACAACCCAATATGACGTTTATGGTCTCTCAAGCACAAATAAATGTAGTGAAATATTGTTGCAACCCATTTTTTTTAATTTCTAGCTCTATGGTTCACTAGAAAAAAATGATTTCTCATTTTCAGTATGTCTTGTTCTCCTTAGGAAATACTTGTAGTACTGTCCCTAGACCTGCGACATTAGGTTGGACTAAAGATTGGGCAATGAGGAATAATGTGTACGATAAATTAAGTGTAGTGGAGATTAAAACTTAATGATTGTTATCCACATATCCTTTTTTATGATATATCCCATTGCTTAGAAAAGAGTACCCACTGGTGCCGGTGAAGGATGCTAAATATAATCATGTCATAGTATGTGGATTGAAAGAACTAGCTTTACTACTGAGGATACATTTTATTCTTTGTAAGCCGAAAATAATTATTGTCTTCATTTTTTGGAACCCCCATTTTGCAACCTGGTCAATATCAACTGTAATCTTATCTGAGGTTTTTAATTGGGGTCAGTACGATATTCATACAATGTATCATAAATGAATGGGGCCATATTTACGAGACACGTTGTTGTCTCCTTGACATGTAAGGAGTACTAGAAAGAGCTATTTTCAACAGTTGGGGTTGCTGTCGGTTCGAGTAACAATTGTTTTTTATATAAAGAAAATAAAGTCTCGGTTTCATTTTCTGGTCTCTGTTGTTAAGGTTGAAAGGACCAGTGAGTCAGTGACACTGATTTGTAGTTTCTTTATGTTTTTTTTTCCTTGTTCCTTTCCAGCCCTGAGAAGCTGGAAGTATCATCTTTTTGATAGATATGTTAAACCTTGAAGTCTGTTAAAATGCTGGCTTATGCTACTACTTTTGATTCTGATCTTATTTCATTTCTCTCGTATTCCAAGTTCACCGTTTAATCTGTTTGACTAGGTCTATGGCTTCTCTTGGGTTGTACTGGCTGGATTAGTTATGATTTTTAAGGTTTGTCATTTCCTTTTGCTTGTTAATTACATATTTAAGCTTAATGATATCGCTCGCCACTATCATCACATTAATCGCTGATTCTTCCTTTTATTTCAGATCTTCACATTTAGCCCCAAAAAGTCCACTAATTTCCAGCTAGTGCTACGATTTATGCAAGGCATCACATGCATTGGGCTTATTGTAGCCCTTTGCCTGGTCGTTTTCTTCACAGACCTATCAATTCCAGATTTGTTTGCCAGCTTCCTCGCATTTATCCCCACCGGGTGGTTCATTCTTTCTGTAAGTATTATCAAGAGGGCATGCTACTTTTTCGTTTGTACAAAATTCTTTTACCGTCTTAACTCTCAATTATTTTCTTACATGTTTTTTTTAACTCAATGACTCATTATGTAGTTGGCAATTGCGTGGAGGAGCATAGTAAGGAGTTTAGGCCTTTGGGATTCGGTAAAAGAGTTTGCTCGAATGTATGATGCTGGAATGGGAATATTAATATTTTCTCCGATCGCTGTGCTGTCTTGGTTCCCCTTCGTCTCCACTTTCCAATCGCGTCTGCTCTTTAATCAAGCTTTCAGTCGTGGTTTGGAGATATCTCTCATTCTTGCTGGGAACAAAGCTAATGTCGAAGCCTCCTCTTTTTAACTGCACAATTTGTAAACTCTGTTGCATTAACCGGCTGAACTAATTATATTGTTTTATGAATTGTGTATGTTTTTATTTCTTTATTTTCATGTGTAGCTTCTGCTTGTTTGAACATTGTTAAAGGGCTTGTGGTAATCAACTTGGCATCATTTTTGAAAACAGCTTATGTATTGTTGTATATAAGTTGTGCTTGTATGAAATCTTAAATTTAGTTTGCGCAAACACCCGTCATTATGTTTCTTGGTGTGTTTGGATATCATTTGGCATCGTTGTAAGGCTTAAATTCTCAAGAAATGAGAGGTGTACAACGGGACCAAAAATAGCTTCCTAATCACAGCCTTAATTTCTGAACAAATAAGAAATTTACTAAAGCTTGTTCAGAAGTTACAGAAAGGAAAAACATAACAAATTGAAAGGCAGGTAGAGATGACTATGGAACTGGCCTGTGGTTAATCGGTTTATAGTTGACGGTTATGATTCAGGAGAACCCTAGACGAGCCTCCTTTCGTTGTGGTCAAAATGCCTTTTTTTTTTCTCTCAAAATCTGCTGCCCCACCGCTGTTCGAAAGGTTATATTTATCGCAGTGCATCACATATCAAATGGTGGCGATTAACCGATCGATCGGTACTAAAATAGGGGTTTTCAGATTTTGCATCGCTGCGATTGATATTCATCGGTCCTTTAAGAGATTGTTTCTTTCTTTCAAAAGTTGTGGTTCTTTCCTTTAGCTATCCAATCCCACTTGAATCATATAATTTGGATTTCATATGTGAGATTATGCTTGAAATACCGAGCCGCGCCACATTTCGCTAAAATCCACTTTCGACATTTGTTTTGCTGTCTTTTTTAATTGATCCTACACAATCGTCAAACGAATATACTAAAACAAGGAACAATTAAACATCTAACACAGAGAATTGACATCGAGATATCCGTATTTTGGACACGTATCATATTGCCAATATGCTAGTATACCATTACTAATAACATATGTAACCACAACATTTAATGGTAAATTATTTGATACTTTATTTGTTTGTCATGTTTTGAATTATGAAATGCTATTTGCGGTCACAAAATTGCTATTCGCGGTTTCTAACAAAACCCCCAAAAACTTTTAAAAATATCTAAAACCCCCCAAAACTGCAAATAGCAAAAAAAAAAAGAAAAGAAAAAATCGAAAATTCGAAATCAAGCTTGAAGAAGGGTTGGGCTTCGATTTTTTGATGTAATTTCGACTCTTTTATGTGTAATATGCATTGAGTAGGTCGATTACGGAACCAATTTCATGTTAAAAAGCCCTACAAATTGAGCGTTCGTACACGCCTTGGACGCCCATCTTGGGCGTTCGAACATTTAAAAAAAAAAAAAAAAATTTTGCATTGGACGCCCAACTCGGGCGCCCAAATGCAGTTTGCACGCCCAACTTGGGCGTGCACTGCATGAATGGACGCCCAAGTTGGGCTTTTACGCGTTTTTGGGGGGGGGGGGGGGGGGGGGGGGGTTTGGACTTTTTTGGGAAGTTTTGGGGTTTTAGTGAAATAAAGTGTTTTTTTGGGGGGTTTTATTATAAACCGCAAATAGCAATTTTCAAACCGCAAAAAGCAATTCCCTTTAAATTTATGTGTATATAAGAGGGTTTCAAAATTCTAAATACTCGTGTTGAACCAATTAGGAAAGTGCTAGATATTTATGGAGATATCCGGTAGCTCAAGAAAATGGTGTTTGTTTTTTAAATAAATGGGGATGAATCCAAAAAAGTTTTCTAAGGATCTTCCAATCCATTGAAACTCAACTTATGAATTATTTGGACAAACTTGGCAGTATAAAAGAGATCAAAATAATAATAAAAGTTTGGTAGCTAATATTTACTGTTAGAGCGAATGAAGCGCCGATTAGTATCCAAGTCAAGTTCCAATGTTAAAATTGAGAATATAAATTTTAGACGAAAAGACATATATAGTGTATCTCGACAATAGAAGTCCATACTTGTTCATTTTAAAAAAGTAGCTCGCATTTTTATTAGCTAATCCCCCTTAATTGTGCAAACGCATCATTTGTAGGACACAACACTTAGGCTATAAGTTCAATGTTGACGTTCATTGCCAAATTTTAGCTTTACTTTCACCAATTTTAAGAAGTTCATAGTCAATTCTTGGCCGATGTTTAGAAGTTCATTGCACTAGTTTTTACAAGTTCACTGTACTAAGTTCTACAAGTTCACGGTTATGTTCACCAATTTTCAGAACGTTTAATCGTTAATCCGAAGACAATTTTATAAGTTGATCTCCATATTCAGCAAATTTTCACAAGTTCACTCACATATTATATGATAAGTACTAAATTTTCCAAAATTTCCATCCTATTTAATTTTCACAATGTCACTTACTTATTATTTTAAAAATGCTCGATTTTCAAAATTTCGTTGCCAATTTTCAGTTATTTTTCGAAAGTTCACAACATATTTTTAGGATATAATTTCATTATATATTTGTCAAAAACTCAATCCAAAAAATTTTACAGCCAATTTTGAGCTAATATTCAGAAGTTTGTTGTAATGTTTGTCTTATGTTTTGCAACTTTTCTTTTTGGATAAATTACACCCACACTCCTGAGGTATGCTTAAATAACTTTAAGGTCCATGTGGTATCGATAATTACAATCACCCCCTTGAAACGTAGTTATAAACTCTAATGGGATCATGCATTGGATACGTTATTACGATAGAGTTCTAACGGACTATTGGTTTCAGGAAGTGGTGGGAACAACAAAGAGTTATGGGTGATTTAAGAAATATTGGGGGATCCATGTCACCCCATTACTCCCCATAACTCTATGTTATCTCCACCACTAGCTAAAAGTAATAGTCCATTAGAACCCTATCTGAATAATGTATCCAATGCATTATCCCGTTAGACTTTCTAACTACGTTTCAGGGGGGTGACTATAATTATCGATACCATAGGGACCTTAAAATTATTTAAGCATACCTCAGGGGTGTGGGTGTAATTTACCCTTTCTTTTTTATACATGTATTAAACTTTGACAACACATATTGAAATATAAATAAAGAAAAAACACAATAAACAACAAAAAATCAAAATTTTCATATGTTTGTTAAAAAAATCAATGAAAACCCAATTTAAATACATATAATTATACAAATGTCAATACAAAGAAGAAACAATGTGACTTTTTTAAGATCCAAAACAAATATTTAAATTAAATATTACACTCGATCTTGTGTTGAGATCGATAAGATTGTAAAATATATATTAGTTTTTAGATCTTAGATAATGAGATATGTGTCGGTGGTAAGATTGATTTTAACCTCTTCACTGTCTTGGAGCGGGGATGCTTTGAGGTGGTCGGTGAATACCACGTTGAGGATTATGCAGCCAATTCAGAGATACCTCTTGTAGCTCGATTTCCCAATTTCGGTATAGGACACGTACCGACCGGGATATTTGGTACTATAAATGGGGTTATTGGGGTCATTGCCTAACTCAAACTCCCTCACAAGCGATATCTCTTAATGGAGAAGTTTCAGAAACGGAGGATGCCTTTCTATATGGATAAGAAAAAAATGCGAAAACAGGAACTGAAACTCATTTTTTTTAGTTTACTTGAGCACTCGATTCAATGGAGGCTTTATAGTCAATCTAATATGAGTTCATAGTACATGAGAAGCCTGCGTCTAGGGTTTCATCTGCTTCTCACTCTCTCTGATTCTCTCGTTCGTTTTCTCCTCCGTATCTGTAAAAAAAATGGCAGATTGGGTTCCATAAGAGCCCGAGTAGAACCTAGCCGTTGGCGTGAACCCCATTCCTGCAATTGTTGTGGTTGTTGTGCCAACCAACGCACATGTGTGATGAGAGCTAAAGAGATTTCAGATGATACAAGCAAATGGCGGTGGGCGATTGACAGACACCCAATACAGCGATGTAGCAGCACGTCAGTGTTCTTCAATCTAAGTCCGGTCCGGTTGCTAATCAACAACTTACCCAAATCCAGGATTCCTGAGATGGAATTGAAGTCCGCACAAACGCAACTAGTGCAAGGTTTATCAATTGGCAAAACTCCACTTGTCAAAATTGTAAGACTGTCAATTTTGTTCCCATTTTCAAAATCATAGACCATCCCTTCACCCGAATGTGCAGGGCGACCTTCAATTTGCGCCTACTTACCTTGTGGGTTCCGAGCCACCGGCGGGATTAATGTCGGCGAACTACGATGAGATTGATGATTGGAGGGCTCGTTCGACGAATGATCAATTACTGGACATGTTCAGAGGCTCTCATTAGTTTTACAATGACGTCAGGTTTTAGTTGCCTGACAATGCTCCGACGATACAAGTGGCGCGTGCTGCATTAAATACTTTAGATGACTTCTTTTTGTATCAATGATTCTGCTTATGGGAATACAAAGAGTGGTGTTGAGGTATGAGCATCAATGACAATCTATCTTTTGAAGATCATATGTTACCTGATGTATTTTGAACATCAATATCTTATCTTCTTAGACTCTTTATTACGTCTTTTAAATATCCGACCTGATGAATTTTGAATATAAAAAAAAAATACACGAGGTTTATTATGAACTAATAAAATGTGCTTATCAAATTAAATCGAGTTTCAATGTGAAATTCTTGAAAATGATTGTGTACAAAGGTTGCATTGTTGTTGTTCATGTGCGAAGTTGACGCTTCATTATCAAAGAGTCTCATGACGCTCACATTGATTGTGAGAAATAGGGTTGTGTGGGGTACTACATATTTTCTAGTTAGAGCTTGATACTACAACTCTCTACTTAACATTTGTGCTTAACTATTTATATGCATTTTGGAAGAATTTGATTATTTTTTGCCCTGTTGGGGGCACTTCATGTTATTTTTTTTCTGAATGATAACTTGAAGGTAATCCAGAAGTTGCAAATGAATGAAGAATCAAATGTCCAAGATTGATACATTGCACATTGGATTCTATGATGAATGCCCTAAGAACTAATGAACATCTTGAACATGCATTTATCGATAAGAATTAATGAACATCTTGAACATGCATTTATCGATAAAATAGTAACTTGAAGTTAATACATAAGTTACAAATGAATGAAAAAACAATCTTCTAAGACGGACACATTGCACATTAAATTCTATCATGAAAGCACAACAAAGGTTATAAAAAATATCCTATAAGGATCAATTTAACATCGTGAACATGCATTTAGTAACTTGA